CCCATGGAAGGAAAGTTGATGGAAATTCTCGAGGAGAAGAAATTAGGAATCACGCCCCTGTTATGTCAAGGTCGAGCTTCTCTAACCGGGGTGAAAACAAGGGGAAGTCAGGGCGGTTTTTGGGGGTAGAGGGACCTGCCTCCTCACGCGCGGTCGCTGCTTCGTCACAGAGCACTCTCTCTGTCTGTCTGTCTCTGTCTCTTCTTTCCTCTCTCTCTCTGTCTCTGTCTCTGTCTTCTCTGTCTCTCTCTCTCTCTCTCTCTCTCTCTCTCTCTCTCTCTCTCTCTCTCTCTCTCTCTCTCTCTCTCTCTCTCTCTCTCTCTCTCTCTCTCTCTCTCTCTCTCTCTCTCTCTCTCCCTCTCCCTCTCCTATTTATTTTGATTGTCTGTCTACGTGTGCCCCTATTCCTCACTCTTTCTTCTTTCTTGCTTGTCATTCACTCCTGCTCTTCCTCCCTCTAATCACCAATCTTCTAAACCGCCTTTCTCACGGCACTTGCCTCTCCTTCCCACACACCCTCATTCCATTTCTTCCTATTTCTTATCCACTCCTTTCACAATGGTTGCCAACTCTCTTTGTTCAAGCAGAAACACTTAAAAGAGTCCGCATGGCCGCTGCATGACAAGCCTCACCTGCTGACGAAGGTATATTTGAGGACATGACCTGTTCATGAGCAGGACCTTTGTGTGGGCTCTCGGGTCGGCAAGGGCTGCGCCGTGTTGTCCTGGAGTCATGGTCCGGGGGGTCCTGACAATGCTGAGGTCTTGACGGATGTGTTCCTTTATTCTCATTCGCCAATTAAGCGTCGTTCTCTTGCTGTCGAGACGCTGTTGAAATTAGTATTCCAGGAGTGTATGGCAGCGCTAATTGGGTGGAATCAGTGGAAATAAAATGGGGGAGGTCTCAGGGACGCCAGGATAAGGAGTGGCGAGGCAGGGCGGGCGGCGAGGAGAGGGACAGGGCGGTCTGAGGACCCGAGAGGAGACACGTTGCACAATCTGACGGCGTTTCACTTGCACTTTTGTCTTGAGGAAAGGGCAGAGTCACGCCCGTCGAGCTGAAGCGGCGCCAGCAAGTCCTCAAAACGAGGAAAAGGAGACGAGAGGGAGAGAGAGAGAGGGATAGGGGGAGAGGGGAGGGAGGGGAGGAGGAATAGGGGCAACGTGAAGGACAGTAACTGTATCCCTATCGCCGTACATCCGGGATTTCCCTCTCGTTCTGAGGTCGACGTCGGGGCGCGGGCTCGAGGCTGACCTGGCTTTGCATCTCGGCCTCGGGAAAAGTTCCATTTGATGCCTCCTGCAAGAATGTATCCAGTGAATAACATATAATATAAGCGTGAATAAGGTGAAGGGAGACAGGTGTGTGAGTCACAGAGAAAACGGGACAAGTTGTGAGCGTGGGCTGGTCCCTCACACGATCATCAGTGGGCGAGTCTTACAGGCTTTCCTCCCGACTCGTTTTGCGGGCTTTCCGCACAAAGGGCACGTCCGCAAATGATTCTAAACCTTTGATTATAAATAACGTATATTATAAAGGAGGAAATCACCATAAATAAAAGTAAAATGAATGATTTAGCCTGATATTTGTAAGCTAGTTAAGCAACACATGACGACTTGGCACCTGATGTTGCTGTCCTTGACAAACCAGGCGCTCCCACGTACGGGCTACTGATACCGTGCGTGCCCGGTTATACTCACCGCTCCTGGCTCGATGCTGCGCTCTTGCTTGCCGTGGAATACCCAGACCACCAAGTAGATCACTGTATTTCACTCTCTCAGTCGCCTCTGGCTCTCAGGGAACGCAGGAACCCATTTCCGAGGAGGATTCGCTATCCGGAAGGGACGCCGCGGAGCCTCTTGACACCGTCCGGCCCGCCAGGCAGCTTTTGCCAGGCTGGACCGAGTGAATAATTGATTCACGCTGACGGTATCTCGCGAAGGCAAATATGAGGCTTTATTCACGACGATTACATGAATGATATGAAAAATATACAGTGCATTCCCGCCCGCCTCGGATCACGAAACAGACCACGCCTCGACGAGAAGAGCAGCGGGAGGCAGACGCCCTTTTAGCATTTATAACGTCATCCCATACTTGGCAGGCGGGCCGCTATCCCTGGCCTGTGTGTTGATGTTTGATGTCGCGTCGTTGTACATTTGGCAGCTTATGAGAGGTTGCCGGAGGGGGATGTACGATACTATTTAACCGCGGACTTTACAGTATACAAGCCTTTATTATATGAATATGCGAGATTATACATATTCTCGAGTATCTCATTTTGTTCCCCAACCTTTGATTTATTCTTCCAGATGAACAAAGATGATATACCAAAACTTCATAACATACAGTATATAAACTACACATATTACTCACTAAACATACTTTTAACACAACACCCTTTTCACACCACGAAAATCTACATGAAATCTCCTCATGCATTTTAGAGAACATCCCTAACAGCCATATAACTAACCTCTATTTCTCTCTCTCTTTCCAGGTTTCTGCTCAAGTGAACTTAGGACAAGGACTTCAAAGAGAGATATTTTTCTTAAATTTAGAAGACGGCTACTTCGGCTGTCAAGTGAACGAGTCCACAGACGTACTTCAGTTATTCGAAGTGTCGAGACTTTGTGATGGGACTCCGAACTGCTTCTTAGGATCCGATGAAAACTTCCAAGAACTTAAATGCACGAGTAAGTATCTATGGCGTCTTGACGGTGTGTTGTTTAGGTATATGTCGTCTGTTGAGGAGTTTAGAATATGTCTAACTCCCCATAGATGGATAGGTAGATTGATATAGATAGATAGAGAGGAGATGGAATATCTAACTCAACGATACGAAGAGTTTTATTCAGTTGGCCGAAAATTATAAATTTCTAATCGAAAAAACAAACATGTCAAAAGAATTATCATCTAAACATCAAATGACAAAAATAATTCATAAATCATCAAAAGTTTTCACAAAAGGAAAAATAAATTATTCAGCGTGTCACTAAACCTCAGTGGTCACTGGCCTATATAATATCAGCCTTGATCTGTTATCCTCTGTTCCCATTTTCTTTGGAGGAAGAAAAATAGAGGACGGGAAATAGTCCAATTTTCTTCGATTGACCGCGACACATTGACCAAGACGGGGGAATATGGGCCAAGAATAAGAATAATTTGATGGTTTGTTTTCTGTAAAGAGTATTTGCTTCGAGACGACATGATTATGATCGAATAAATGATAGATAGATTATGATAGAAGGTTTGTGAAGTAATTTCAATGCGAGAGATTAAGCAGGGGAATTATCATTATCATTGGAATTGTTATTATTCTCGGTTGCAAACGTTTAATAGAATTATTATCTCATTTTCTTGTCGACTTTATCATTTACTTCGAGATTATCCGTCATTCTGAAAACAAAACATTGACAAAAACAACCATTGGCTCGCCCCTCCCCCCTCTCCCCAGCCCCCCACCCCACCCCTCCCCCTCCCCCAGCCCCTCAACCCCCTCCCCAGCCCCCCTACCCCCCTACCCCCCCCCGAACCCAAGACCCCACAACAAAAGGAAAATAATCCCTGGACTCAGAGCCTTTGTATATTCACTTTCTTCCCGACCATCTTGATCGGACTCCGGCAAGGGAAATTGCGGGCGTGGAAAGGTCTCCTCGTCGCCGCCGCCGCCGCCCCCGCCGCCTCCTTCCCGCTGGCCAAATGTTGCGTTTCCTGAAGGTTTCTCAAGATCTTTGTTTGTTTGTGTGACGTTCTCAAGATCTTTGTTTGTTTGTGTGACGTTCTCAAGATCTTTGTTTGTTTGTGTGACGTTCTCAAGATCTTTGTTTGTTTGTGTGACGTTCTCAAGATCTTTGTTTGTTTGTGTGACGTCTCCTTTTGGCGGTGTTTACGGACGCTGGGGAAAGGCGTTGTTTGTGTTTCTTCTTTTCTTTGTATTTGCCTTTTCTTTTTTCTTTTTTTTATTTTTTATATACTTTTTTTCTTCCTCTTTTTTTTTTCTTCTTCTTTCTTCTTCTTTTCTTCCTTTCTCCTCCTCCTTCCCTTCTTTTCCTCTTCTGCTTCTATTCTTCTATTCCCCCTCTCGCTCTTCCTCCCTCCCTCCTTGTACCCTCCTTCCAAACACAGATAAAGGAGGTCGGTGAGGGAGGAGAGTGGGGAGGGGAGGGGAGAGGAGACGGGAGGAGAGCAGTAAGGGGAGGGGAGGGGAGAGGGAGGAGAGGAGAGGAGAGGCCCCGGGGGAAGGAGAGAGGGAGGGAGAGGAGAAGAGAGGGGGGGAAGGGAGAGAGGGAGAGAGGGGAGGAGAGGAGAGGGGGGGAAGGGAGGAGAGGAGGAGAGCAGGGGGAGGAGAGGAGAGGCGACGGGGAGAAGGGAGAGGGGAAGGGGAGGGGGAGGGGAGAACAGTATATCTTCGTCCCGTTTTCTTTATCACCATAACGAGTCATGTCATTAGGAAATCACCAGTGACCCACAACCTGTCCTTGCCAAGGCCTTGTCGGGTCATTGAGCTTTTGGGGGTGACGGTGTACCATTGCAGACATATCGCCGGACTTCATTGCAGACGGGGGTGGGGTTCAGTTCTTTCAAGTTGCAAAGAGAAATTAATGAGAATGCAGAAAGATACAGATTCATGCAAGTAACTGGAGTTTACGGATGAGCAATGTATGTGGGGTGTGAAGAGAGAGAGAGGGGAGAGAGGGAGGGAGAGAGAGAGAGAAGAAGAGAGAGAGAGAGAGAGAGAGAGAGAGAGAGAGAGAGAGAGAGAGAGAGAGAGAGAGAGAGAAGAGAGAGAGAGAGAGAGAGAAAGATTAAGGTCTCTATAATCCCCTGTACAACTCACCACCTAAACTCTAGAAACTTTCTAAAAAGTCCCAAAAAATAAAAATAAAAATCACTTAAAGTTCCAAAAAAAAAAGATGAAACAACGATGGCCACAATATGAAAAAATACGCCCCCAAAAATATCTGGATTTGGGTCAATGTGCCCGATGTCAGTCAGATCAAAGGGATCGGCGTGGCCACTTATAGGGATCCCGTTATCGCATTTGTGAGGGAAAGGAGGTGGTGAGGGAAGGGAGAGAGGGAAGGGAAGGAAGGGGGGAGAGGGGAAAGAGGGGGTGGAAGGGAGAGAGAGAGGGAGGGTAGTGAGGGAAAGAGGTGGTGAGAAGGGGAGAGAGGGGAAGAGAAGGAAGGGGTGGAGGGAGGAAGGGGGAAAAAGGAGGTGGTGAGGGAAAGAGGAGAGAGGGAAGGGAAGGGAAGGGAAGAGGGGAAGGGAAAGGAAGGGGGGGGAGTGAAAGGGAGAGGAGAGTGAGAGAGGGAGGAAGGGAAGGCACGGGGCGTGGAAGGGAGAGTGAGAGAGGGAGGGAGGAGGAAGGGGGGAAGGGGGAAGAGGGGCGTGGGTAGAAGAAGTGAGACGATGAAGGTGAAGAGAGGGGCGACACCGGTCCCGATAGGGAAGTGAAGGGAGAAATCTGTCGTGGCGGAAAGCTAGGAAGGTATGAGCCAAAGAGAGAGGAGGGAGAGGGGGAAAGATGAAGACGAGGAGGAGAAGAGACCGAGTAGAAGGAATAAGAGGTAGGAACGGGGAACGGTGGTGGGAGAGGGGAGACAGAAAGAAGTGACGGCAAGGAGTGAGAGAGCAGAAGAAGAGGGCACGGAGGAAGGAGCTGGGAGGACTTAAGATAAGTACAAGGTAGAGATGAGCGAGATAAGGAGAAGTCAGGAGCACACACAGTGCATATATGTCAAAAGTGCGGGCACGCGCAAGGAGCACGCGTTGAGTGACTAGGGGAGCGGGACACCACCACACCCTAGAGAGAGAAAGGAGAGCTCAGACAGGACAGTAGAGAGTAGGAGGAGTGATTGTCGCGAAAGGAAAAGGCACACGCACACACGCACACGCAATGCGGAGGAGCGTTAGCACACTATGAAAAGTATATATGGGCCACTGAAAACCTCAGGTACGGTAGGGTTGACTCACTAAAAAGATCCCGCACCTGCACCAACTCGCGCGTTCGCAGGCCTCACGCGTCGTACGGTCCAATCTGCTTTTGCTTTTAACTCACTACACATCGGTTATTGTCGGATCTCTCCGTTTTTTCCGCCGTCGATAACACGGGTTCTCCCATCTTTATTCTGACCTTCTCCTACTACGATTATCAGCACATTTTTCCTTCTATTGGCCTTCTCTCCTCCTTTCTCTCGCGTTCTACTTCTTCTCCCTTCCTTCGAGAAAGATAAATAGATCGATAATTTCGTCATTAAGGTCATTTTCGTGAAATCTCCAGCCTGTCATTATGTCTATCCTCATTCCGAAGATGATTCAAGAGAAACTTATGAAAAAAGAATCTTAATTGTCATTTAATTCATTAATAATCTCAATCATTTGATCATTTTACCCTCTAATTATCTTTATACCTATTAATCATTTCTACGATTATAATCTTTATCATATCTATTATTTCACCTTTTTATCATCACTTTATCATCATAATCATATGCATAGTAAGATATAAGGCGCAAAAAGAAGAGGTTACTAGCAGCACATGGAATAAATGAATAGAAGAATAGAAGAATACATGAATAGAAGGTCAGACACCCATATGGACAGTGAGTCAGCTGGTGATAAGAATAAGGGTAATGATGATGATAATAACGGTTGTAATGATACTAATAACGGTAATGATAATGATAGCGATAGTAATGATGATAGTAATAGTAATAATAATTCCGAATAAGGGTAATGATGGTGATGATAACGGTTGTAATGATACTAATAACGGTAATGATAACGATAGCGATAGTAATGATGATAGTAATAGTAATAATAATTCCAAAAAAAGTATTATTTATATAAAATCACACCATCAACGCGATAAAAATAAACAAGATCAATAAACGAAACAAAAGCACATCGACAACAAGAGGATCGGACCCGCCAACGCCGTCCGGAATCGCTTTCGAAAACGGTTTATGCGGAAATCGACTCCGAGACTTCCGGCATCTATAGTCGTAAGGAAAACAGAGGTTAGCGAAGTGTGTCAGAGAAGGGGAAAGAAACGGGGACTGCGGTGGAGAGTCTTAAATATTCTTTTCCATAAACGTTTCGGGATTGCGAGTTTGGTAAGGGTGTGGTGGGGGGTGGGGTGGGTGGGTAGGGGGTGTGGGTGGGGTAGGGTAAGGTAGAGGGGGAGGGGTTACGGAATGGCTGGAGGAAGGGGGGGAGGGGGATAATTGGAGTTTAATTAGAGTAGTGTTTTTTTTTATATTTATTGTTCATCTATTTATTGATTAATTGGATGGATTAAGATAGGAGCGTTGAAATCCTTCCTCCCTTCCCCCATCCCTTACTTTCCTCTCTCTGCCCTCTTCCTTCCCTTTCTCAGCCTCCTCTCCTGCCTTCCCTCCCTCCCTTCCTCCCTTCCTTCTCCCTCTCTCCCCTCTTCCTTCCCCTCCCTCCTTCTCTCCCTACCTCCTTCCTCCCTCTTCATTCCTTCTCTCCCTCCTTTCTACCTCCTCCCCTCCCTCCTTCCCCCCTTCCTCCTCCCATCCCTTCTCTCCCTCCCTCCTCCCTCCCCCTCCTTTGTCCTCCGCTCCTCCCTCCCCTCCTTCCCTCTCTCCCCTCCCTTCACTCTCCTCGAAGATGGAGGAGGCGGTGGTCACAGAGCGTTGCCGGTCGGAGCGGTACGCGGATACGACTGTGCTCAGGCACCTGCCAAATCTGTTATCTCCCTCTTCGCCTGTTCCTGCCGTGTCCCTTCGAAGGACCCTGGCCTGCACCTCGTTCGCCCTGACCTGAGGGTTAACGGAAGATCATCATTTCATAGTAGGCGCGTGAAGAAACGATTATCGGTGCTAGCAGATATGGCTGATGTATGAACGGCCAAAGTGGCGGTCCCGTCGAGCAACGGCAGAAATTTTCGTAAAGCTTTAGGCCGGGGGAATATGCGCTTTGCCGCTTGTTGTACGTGCGCGCGCGAAGAGCGTGGAATATTTATTGAGCAGGATCATTCCGAGTCCCGGGGTGAGGACGGTGAGTGTTGTTTTTCTTTTCTTGGTTGGATTAGTTTTTTGTTGTTTTGTTTGTTTTGTTTTGGGCGGAGGGTATAATTTTCGAAGGGAGAGGGAGAATAAAAGATTGTACGGTGGCCAGGAATTTGGTTGTGGTTAGATGAATTAGTGCGGATAAATGAGTCAGCCCGGTACCCACGTAGATATGTGATGTGGAGCATACTGGCCTCGGCGTACTGGATGGGTACGAGAGTATTGAACGGACTCGACAGAACTATCCCATCTCCTGATTATAGAATAGATACCTTTTTTTATATCGATTAATCTTAATATTGTTATATTATCCTATTTAATTTTGCTATGACGGCCACTCTTTATAGCAGAAACAAACCTACAATAAAAAGATCACAAATTTACAATAGTCTTCCTAAAAAAAAAAAAAAAAAAAAAAAATCATTCTCACATTGCTCCTAGAACCCAGAGACTTCAACGGCAGACATAATATACCAATCTATCTCTCGTTTATCATTATTCAAATTAATAAATGTTATTTATTATTATCATGATTTAAATTAATAAATGTTTCCCCACCCCCCCCCTCTCTCCCCCTCAGATGACTGCCCGTACACACAAGGCTACAAGTGTGTGAACGGAGCGTGTCTGGATGGCCAGTGCCACTGTAATGATGGTTACGGTGGTTGTGGTTGCGATCCCAGGGATTGTGCGATGTGTCTGTCCTGTTTTATTGTTTGTTTGATTGGTTCGCGATGCCAAGAGAGTAGTTGTATTCTGGTGCATTTGGAGAGGGGTGCTGGGGCTGGTAGGCTGATAGTGTGTATGTTGGAGATGGGATGGGTTTATGTGTTGGTGTCGGGTGTGTTCGTGTTTGGGTCGCGTGTAATCGTTGGTGGGCTGTTGAGGTGTTGGGACGGAGTCGAGTGTTGGCGGTTCTTGCGCTCGTGTGTGGAGTGTCTGCTGGCTGAGCGGGCCGCGAGCTGGATTGGTCCGGGTAGTTGTTGTTGGGCTTGTTGGGCGGTCTGTTTCAAAAATTTAGTAAAGATGTAGTTGTTTGTCACTGTGAGGCTGACCAGCCTGTGTATAGTGAGGTGGGTGAGTGGTGAGCGTGTATTCCCAATGTCGTAGTACTGATTTCCAATGCTTCATCAAGCAGATTGACCTGGTGTTGTGACTAGCACATGATATACTCTATTCAGGGCACATAAGCGTTAATGCCAGGTTGTGGCGCTGGTTGCAGGTGTGGTATGCGGTATTTTCGCTGTCACCATGACATGTTGTCAGAATATTGGTTAGTAACGGATAATTATAGTAGCTTAACAGACACGTCGGTCGCTTATGTGAGTCGGTGTTGTTGTTGCTCGTGCCGCGCCGTATTGTTCATGGCGATCATACGTCTCCGTCGCAGATGTAAGCGTTTTCCAAATGGTTTTTACCTGCGTTAGCATCGGGTGTATGGTGGTGTCTGTGCTTCTGTATAGTTGTGGTGGTGAGTGGTCGAGGCCTGCTCGTGTATTGGTGAGTGCCATCAGCGTAATTTTGTAGGTTGTGTGGGCTGATGTCTGTGAATGTGTGTCTCGTGCTGGTGTGTCTGGTGATTTGTGGTGTGGGTATCATGTATGCGTCGCGTCGTACTTCTGTATTTGTGTTTGGTGTGTAATCTGCATTTATGTACGTGTGTGTGTACATGCTGTAGCTTTGTGCGTGAATGCCGTGCCTGTAGTACGCGCGTTGCGGCGTTCCCGGGTATCGTGCGCTGGTTGTCGTGTCGCGTGTGTAGAGTGAGGGCCGGTTCTCGCCGGCTGGGTGATGGGTAGAGGTCAGCTGCTGTGGGTAGCCCGTGCGCGTGCTGAGTTTGGGGAAGACTGTGTGGTCGAGGCACCTCAGGAGTAGGCGCATGTCCTCACGCACCCCGCAGGCGTTGTATTTCTGTGGCCGAATGTTGGTCCTTGTTGAACATTGACCGAGCCGTCTAGAGGCGCGAGGGTGCACTAGGTGCGGGTTTAAGCTTGGTGACAAACATTGCCATTTCTGTATCATTTGGGTCCGTGGTCTGTCATTTATTTTTTTTTTTATTTATTTTTTTTTTTTGTTTTGTGTTCTTGTTTCTTTGTATGTCTATGAATAGAATTAGTATGTTTATAATTTTTATTTTTTTTTCGTTTTTAATTTTTTTTCCGCTTATCTTTGTTTGCCTGTCATATATATTCTTCTCTCTCTCTCTCTCTCTCTTCTTCTCTCTCTCTCTCTTCTCTATATATATATATAGTATATATATTATATATTATATATATATATTATATAATATGTGTGTGTGTGTGTGTGTGTGTGTGGTGTGTGTGTGTGTGTGTGTGTGTGTGTGTGTTGTGTGTGTTGTGTTTTTTTTCCTTTTTTTTCTTTTTCTCTTTTTTCTCGTTATCGTTATCATCGTCGCATATATTCTTATCTACCGATGACAGATTGAAGACGTGAATGATAGAGAATGAATGATAACTCTTATCATTCATCATTTGCGGGACTAATTACTAATTACGAGTCAGCTGTTAAAGAAACCTAATTCATTGTTAATTATGTCTAATGGACGTATGGCCACTTTCACGTTGCCACAAGCAATCAGAGAGAGAGAAATGTGATCTCTCTATCTTTTCTTTCTCTTCTCTCTCTTTATCCCTCTCTTTCTCTTCTCTCTCTTTCTTCTCTTTCTCTTCTCTTTCTCTCTCTCTCTCTTTATCCCTTTCTTTCTCTTTCTCTCTCTTTCTTTTTTTTCTCTTCTCTCTCTCTCTCTCTCTCTCTCTCTCTCTCTCTCTCTCTCTCTCTCTCTCTCTCTCTCTCTCTCTCTCTCTCTCTCTCTCTCTCTTCATATTCGCTCTCTCCCTTCATTCTCTCCTTATTCCCTTCCACCTCTTGCCCCCCCCTTGTCCTACCCTCCTCCCTCATCCCCCTCCACCCCTTCACCCAATTTTCCCTCCTCCCTCTATCCTTCCTCCCCCCCTCCCCCCCTCCCTTCCCATTTTTCCCTCCTCCTTCCCCCCTCAACCCCCCTCCCCCCCTCACCCAATTTTCCCTCCTCCTCTATCCTCCCTCCTCCCTCCTCCCTCCCTCCTCCCTCTACCCCCCCCTTCAAACGCGCCACGATGACGTCATCGTCGCGGCTTCGTTGGTCCGAAAGGCGGCGCCGGAGCTCGCAATCGGTCGCCGTTCTGCCGGTCGGCCTACGGGGAAAATGCTTGGTTTTTGTTTTATTTATTTTATTTTATTTTATTTTATTTGTCTATTTATTTATTTGTCTTTTGGGTTTTATTTTTTTATTTTTTTGTTGGTTTATTTCTTATTTATATTGTTATTTTATTTCATTTATTTATTTATTTGTCTTTGGCGTTTATTTGTTTTTTGTTTGTTTTATTTCTTATTATATTTGATTATTCTTTATTTATCTATTTGTTTTTATTTGAGAAGGTTTTCTTCAGTCACTTACGTACACATACATATAGAAACATATGTGTATGAACAGTCACATATACACATCTATGTACACTAAAACATACATACACACACAAATAAACAAACACACGCACAGATAAAAATAGACATGTGTGTATGTATATATCCACATCTATATGTGTGTGTATGCGTTTATGTGTGTATGTATGTATAAATTCTGTATGTTACTGTATAAATGTATGTATGTATGTATGTATACATGTATGTATGTATGTATGTATGCGTGTCTACAAATATCAGGAAAGAGAACAGAATACACACGCACATGAACAGCCAAAAAAAAACGGCAACACTCACGCATGTGCACACCACCAACCAAATCCACACATGAAGTGGAACAAAGAGAATAAATTAACTGATGTCTTAATGCAACATTTGCGTGAGGAGAGATGTTGCGGATGCGTGGTCATGTAATTTTCTTTGTAATTGATTATGATAAAAGGATTTGTTATCATTTGGCCGAAGCGAAGAGATGGAGAATGGGCGAAGGGAAAAGAAAAGAGAAGTAGGGAGAGAAAGGAATAGGGAAATGAGAGAAAACGGAGAGAGAGACGAAGGAGAGTAGAAAAAAAAAAACGAAGGGAAGCGTAGAAAGAAATTAAAAGCATAAAACTAAAAATAAATAATTTCAAAAATCTTAAAAAAAACACACAACACAAAAAAAAAGACAATAAATGAATAAAAGAAGGAAGAGAGAAACAAGAAAGAGGCGAGAGAGAACCCGGCGTCCTTGTGGGCGAGCGAAGAGACCGCCAGACCGAAGCTGTGGGGCCGACGACGCGCCATTAAGGGGAAAACTGAACAAAAACGCGGTAAAAGAAAACGCCCGACATTTTCATTCATTTTCTTTTTCTTTCTTTTTTTATATATAAATGTGCGTTTTGTTTTTGTTATTTTTTTATGCTGCTTCTTTGTGGAGTGATTCTCTCGTTGGATGTTGTTAGAGTGAAAGCTGGTTGTAATGAGTGGCGTTGGGGATTGAGATAAATCGGGTAGAGAGATAGGCGAATTGAAAGAAGGAGATAGGCACGAGAGAGAGAGAGAGAGAGAGAGAGAGATGCACCGCACCTAGATGAGGGAAGCAGAGAAGAGAGCTAGGAGAGACAGTAGTAGACGGAGAAACGAAAGAAAGAAAGAAAGACCAAGATGGCAGAGATGACTAGATGACTGACCCGAGATGTATGAGATGACGATGAGCACAGGACCGAGACGAGAATCTTAGATGGTCCGATGAGAGAGAAAAGAGCAGAGAAAGCCCAGATACGAAGTATAGTAATAGAGTGAATAACATCCTATATAACGTATATGTACCTTAAGAAAATCGAAAGTAAAGAACACAGCAGAAGCCTTGAGGCGGAATAGTGCAATATTTCAATTTAAATATCGCAAAAATTCGATAAGAGGATATATCCCGCTCAAAAACCGAGAAGGGCGAGTAAAACAACGGACGCACATCCTCATCGTTGCTTTTCGCATGCAAATTATTTACGACTCCCCCATTAAAGACGATTAACCCATTACGTCTTCAGGAATTTTCTTGGAGCATAATGAGGTAATGAGCAGGGCTCGGCCGAAGGCGAGAGAGGGGAGGTGGGTGAGGTCCGATGCTCTCCCTCCACCGTGCTGTTATGAAATAAGATATAATAATTGATTGTTGTATGATATATTATTCAGTGGTTCGTGTTTCGTTTAAGGGTAGATGGTAGCAGAGTTATGAGACCCGTTGAAATGGTGTGAGCGTAATGATAGAAGGTGAGTAGAGGTCCACGACAAATCCCTGATTTTCTATGATGTATTATGTATATATCTATCTATCTTTTTATTATCGAGCCCAGACGCATGTATGCATGAGAGAGCGAGTAGAGATGATCTGTGGAAGAGAGGATGAAGTTCTGATGAGTCCGCATGTACCGTACCGGTCCTGAGAGCAGCGGAACAAAGACAGACTATTGCTAGAGAGATGAGAACACAGATGCCAGCCCACACAGATAACATTGAAATCGAGTAGTGAGAGAGAGATGCAGACCCTGAGTAAGAGAAAGTGAGCCACATTAAGTGTATCTCCTCGTATGCGTTGCACGTCACAGAATCATGACACGACTAGCCAGAAATGAAAGATATTTATGAGAGCCACCCTTCCAAATAGACAAAGCCACAAGAAACATTAGAAAGACAAAGCAGCACAAAATAGCCGAGAGGTGACCCAAACACCCCATGAACAGAGAGAAGAGAAAGGTAAGAGAACAGACAGACAGACAGACAGGAGAGAGGAGCCATCCAAAGAGACAAAGAAAGAGACCAGCCACAAGCAGACAGAAACAGATACCCAAACAACAAAACAAGACGACACAATGTGACAAATAATATAAGAGACGCTCTATCTAGGATAGAATAGACAGACAGAACGCATTGGCAGGCTCCTGCGCTAATCCGCCTTCGCCCGATTAGCAAGCGACTCAGGAGGGCGTTGATACTTAGTGCTCTCCAGCTCCGACCAAGCAGCACAGGCGCTCGATGCGTGTCCCTCTCTTTAACTCACCCCCCCCCGCCGGCGAGGGTCACCCCTCCAATGAGTCGTGGCTTGCGAGCGAGAAGCGCAAGCATGGGCCGTGCTGGAGGGAGGAGGCTATGGCCTCGTCTAGACTACGCGAAGCCCTGAG